GAACCATGCAAACTTCGACACCTTAGGGATAATTGAATGTAGCCATCGTCCCAAGCTCCCTACTTCATATATTACTTGTAACTAGACAAATTATTGTTCCGTACGGGGATCGCCCCGAGGATCACCGATCGCGATGATTGCTATTTTGGATTAATTTATTTCCTATATTTACATTTTAATTACCTATTCCTACTCCCACAGTGTACGTAGGTAATAGTGAGTTACCGCGGCGAACCGGTTCACTACCACTAGCCACTAACACTGAATCGATTGGTAGCACCTTGGAGTACCTAAAACCCAGCAGGTGCGTTTTCAGCTGGCTGCATCCTCTATTATTTATGTTACTCGCAAACAGGTTGTATTGCTTCCAGTTCCTCTTCCACTGCCCAATCGTCTTTCGTTCTATTGAGAAAGAAGCTTAATATTTGCCATGAACCATGATCACGAATTAGAGAAATTGAAAATGTAAACAAAATCACAAAAGTCTAACTTCAGGCTTGCCAAACTCATGGGATATTGACACCTTGATTTATACACTTCTGCCTACGTCGGAATGATCGGCATACCGCTTGGCACAGCTTTCGGCACTGCCAAAACTTTTGGCACAGATTAAGGTGTGCAAAGTTGAATACCCCTTGGAATTTTGGTTATTCGAATCCAGATAAAATTCCCTGAGTATGTCTTAAACTTCCCAACGTTTTCTGTACCCCTGTGAATTTATTGGAGCATTTAGAAGTTTCCGAATTTTTCTTTTGTTCTTAAAACATTCCTTATGTTATCTGGAGAGTTTTAAATTTTTAGAAGATCTCGAAGGTTCCCGCTATTTTCCTGAATTGAGTAAAGCAGCCCTAAAGTTATCGAAATATACCTGAAGTTCCCGCAATTTTCCAGATATTCTAGACTTGCTCTGAAGTAACTTCATTTAAGCTTGAGCTTGAGCTTGATTGACCGCCCACGGTTGCTACTCTGTTACTGCCAGATCAGCTGTAATTACACAGAGAACCAATAGACGATGCTTGGGACTAGCACTCATCCTCAATGCGTAAAAACTGGTGATCTTAAATTAGGCAATACCAGCGCCAGCCGCGCCCGAACACAGGTCAAGAAAGGAATGGGAAGGATTGTGTTGACATGACACTCGCTTTGATGGAAGCCGAGAACACCTCTGCACTTCCACGAGGAATCACTGGGATGTTGGATAAGAGGGTTGGGTTTGCAGCAGGGTTCGTTTTGGTAAACGATAAGCTGAATTGATGTCCTAACGATCATATAACGCGAAGGAGCTTGGGACTAAACCCACGGTCTTCTGCTCAGTAAGCAAAAACGTTTGCCACTAGGCAGACGAGCACCTTTTTAATCACCGAGTTGCTGTTATTACCATGTAGTCATATTAACAAATAAAACGATTGACGAATCTTGAATGTGGATGGGCCTGAGATTAGACTCATGATGTTCTGCTCAGTAAGCAAAAACGGTTGCTTTAAGGCCACCGAGCCCCTCATATGCTCAAATTTGTGTATCCATTCAAACCCGGAACCAACGTCAACAACGAGTTTCGCAAAATACACGATACACAAGCGATTTTACCATAAATCTCTTTGATATGTAAGGACCTGGGACCGCGTTTTTCTGCTCAGTAAGCAGGCCACTGTAACCAACGATCTTTCAAATCCGAAAACTAAAAACTACGAAAAAGTAATTAGGCCTTCATTATGTTCCGCTTTCACGCGACGTTCAATGACAGGGTCCTATCCAGGATTACATCTGAAAAATCCAAATCTGGCCAACGCCCACCCTAAACCTAAACCTGTTCTAATCCACCTGAAATGACTAACGAATGGAAGACTTTGACTACCCAGCCATGCAATAGTCTCATTCCGTGCCTTATGGCAACATGATGATTCTATTGCGCTCATCTTTTGGCACCACCCAGGGGAGACTTGGTCCTGTACTCAATGCTTAACTTATCTCCATTCCACTCAGTTACTCGCAATTTCTTGTGATATAGTGGGCGGAATATTATTATATAAGACAATTCAATACAGACGTCTTTCCAAATTTGGCAGATCGACAGGTAATCGGTGAGTTACCACGATATTTGCAATTCAACAACTCGACAACGTCGCATCGTCAACGCCTGCTATGAGAATTTCCCATTGCAGACGTCAACGAAATGACGTCATCGAGCTATCGATCAACTACCCTGGTTATCGCCTGGTACCTTATAGCACGATGCTAGGAGGCGAACCGGAAGAATCAATGAGCTACCTCTCCCTCACTCTGAAGTAACTTCAATTAAGATTTTTAAACTCAATTGAAGTTTTGGAAACTTCTTAAAAAAATTAAATCAAATTCATTTCTTTTAATAATGATTTTAATTGAGCTCTTTGATCTTACCTAAAATTCTTGGAATTGAATTGTACTGGCCATTAAACTAATAATACCTACCATAAAAGATACTAAAACATCTCCGTACTTCTGAACTTTATTGAACTCGGCATTACACTTAAAGGTTTCTAAGGCATAAAATCTCTGATCACGCCTTCTCTAAATCTCACCTGCAGTCCTCTAAACTTGGCTGAAGTTTTTGAAACTTCTTTGTACGTTTCGGATATTCCCTGCAGTTTTTGGAACATCCCGGAAATTTTAGAAGTTGATCCAAAAACCTTAGAGCTTCCCAAATTTTTCTGGACTTTTCTGAACTCCGTGCCGTTAAATTTTTGGTAATAAATATCTCAATTCCAGTAAGAGGCGCCACTCTGAAATTTTCACCAGTGAAAGATAAGCAGTTTTCAAGCATGAAACGATTATCCTCCTCCTTATATTTTTTAAGGCTTACCATTTTACAACACAACGTTTTTCCTACTATGAATTTTTAAAAATGTAGTTTTTGGATTATCCCGGACATTATGATGATCCAAAAGCTTCATCTAAAATTTTCCGCTGTAACGCTGTAACTATCTTTTGTCTTCCTTCGAAAGTTTTATCATTTCCTCTCAGTTGTATGACAAAAGGTCGAAGGACAAAAGGTCGAAGGACAAAAGGTCGAAGGACAAAAGGTAGAAGGACAATAGGTTGAAGGACAAAAGGTCGAAGGACAAAAGGTCGAAGGAGAAAAGGTCGAAGGACAAAAGGTCGAAGGACAAAAGGTCGAAGGACAAAAGGTCGAAGGACAAAAGGTCGAAGGACAAAAGGTTGAAGGACAAAAGGTCGAAGGACAAAAGGTCGAAGGACAAAAGGTCGAAGGACAAAAGGTCGAAGGACAAAAGGTCGAAGGACAAAAGGTCGAAGGACAAAAGGTTGAAGGACAAAAGGTCGAATGACAAAAGGTCGAAGGACAAAAGGTCGAAGGACAAAAGGTCGAATGACAAAAGGTCGAAGGACAAAAGTTCGAATGTGCAAAAGGTCGAATGGACAAATGTCGAGTGGAGAAAAGCTCAAGTAGACAAAAGGTCGAATGAACAAAAGGTGGAATGAAAATTTAAAGGGGCAAAAGATTTAATAGATAAAAGGTCGAAATAGACAAAAGGACGAAATGGACAAAAGGTTGAATTAAATAAATTAGGGACAACAGGTCAAAATATAGAATTGAACACTTTTCTAAAATTACAAAAATTACCCTTTTCAATATACTTTTTTATATTTTTATTAAAAATCCAAAAGTTATCGTTCTAAGATTTTCTTTTTAATTTTTAAGTGTCCAACTTAAGAACTTCACAGGAGAAGCTTATTTATGGAATTAAAACAAAATAGAAGAGGGCAATTTTCTCGATTCATCTTTTAAACGCTTTTTTGGATTCTAAACTGAAAATTTTCAACATTTTTCTGTTTATATTTTTTGAGGATTTATGAAATGATTTCACTATAAAAAACGTTCTTTCTACACTGCTTGGTTCATGAGTGATGATTTTTCAAAGTACGTAAAATTTTTCGGGAAAATTAACCAACCTGATTTGTTTATTATTTATTTCCTTCATAAATCGATGAACTCTACCTGTTAGAAAGATTCCATAAAATTATGAGACCTTCCAGTGCATTTTTTTCAATTGAAAAAAGTCGCCGCAATTGAAAAAAAACAACTCAATCAAATTATCACGGGCGATGCCCTGGGCTAATAAAAATGCAACTGATCCAATCCCTCACACATCTCTATTAACACGATTTTCACCAAAATTTGAAATTAAGAGGCTCGTCGTACATTGCACTAAAGAACCGATTCGATGCTGACTTAAAATGTTCCCTTAATTTATAAAAAAAAATCCAAATGAAAATCCCAGGCGCAAAATTCCAGTTAAAGCCTTCCTGTTTCAATACTTAATGTTCTAGTCCGGTTGTTCCCTGACTTGACGGTTTCAGAAAAAAATGATTCCAATTTAAATCAATCTAAAATCGCTACCGTGTCACCATCACCAATCGATTGGGCACCAAATTGAGTTTGAAACAATTAGAACCAACTACCAGCTAATTGACGAGCACCTATTTGTTGATTTAGTAATTTCAAAGCGCGAATCCAGCAAATGATTGTCCACTGATGTAATAGACTGCTCATTAACACTATTATGTACCACCAACACCCGACTGGCAGCAAATGCCATCCAGACCTCAGACTGCGCGAAGGGTACATCATAAAAACTTCCGTAATTAGGTTAATTGGCTTACCACGCAGCCAGCAGTAGCAACAACAGCAACAACAACAACAACGTTGCAAATCAAATCAGGCAAGGCTACCATCCCGGGTGTGGATGTGCGCGGTATTTACAGACCATCAGCAAGTGGAAATTAAAAACGCGACTCGTCATCAAAATAATAAATTTATAGTACAAATCAATGGCGCACTGAGTACACATTAATTTAATCGGCTCGTAATTGATTGCTTTAATGAGTTAGCCTATACTTAAAATGAACGATGTGGTTAAATGAAATTAATTACAGTTCAATTGATGAGTAGCCATCAGCAGCGCCGTTATTGTAATTGTCATCCCTTTCCCCCTGCATTTCAGATGGAAGCAATCCTCAATGAGAAATTTCCGGATTTAAGCTCGATAACGTCCGACCTCGAAGTGTTGGAGATATTCCCGGATAAAAATGCTGTCCTTTGGATCACAGTGATGCACGTGATCTGCTCATATTTCTGCTACATATTCAGTAAATTCTCCTGCAAAATTCACATCCAAAGCTTTTCGATGGCATTCCCCGTCAATCTGACCGTTCCGGTGACGGTAACGCTGCTGCTGGTGTTCTGCGGCCTTCGTGAAGCGGACGTGTGCGCATATAATGGAATTCTACCGGATTACCTGTTCTTCCGGATGCCACCGATCTACTACCTGTTCGACTATGTCATCAACGAATTCTCCTGGCTGTGGTTGTTATGGCTTCTGTCGCAGACCTGGATTACGCGGCACCTGTGGATGCCCAAAAGCGATCGTAACGCATCCACTGAGAAGCTCTTCATCACTCCGATGTACAACAGTCTACTGGTAGATCAGAGCGTAGCAATGAACCGGAGACGTGAAGATCAGGAGGACTTCGTTAAGAAGATTGTATGTTTTACTGCGACCCTTGTCAAGAGAAGAATTCATTTTGTTTTTTTTTTTCTGAAATCCACAGGACATGGTCAAAGTGAAGGACACCGAAAAGGCGAACGAAATCGACGCCAAGGCAAACGAGCGGAAGAACGATACGATCAAGCCGTACGACAGGATTCCGCAGATCTTCATCTGTGCAACCATGTGGCACGAAACCAAGGAAGAGCTGATGGAGTTCTTGAAGTCCATTCTGCGCTTGGACGAGGACCAATGTGCCCGCAGAATGGCCATGAAACACATTCAAACATCCAAGGTGGACATTGATCAGGACTATTACGACCTGGAAAGTGAGTACACCACCCGAATGCGATCTCGAACAAGTTAATCCAAAACTCCCCTCTTCTTTCAGCACACATCTTCTTCGATGATGCCTTCGTAAACGACAAAAGCAAGTGCGAAAGTGCCAACGATTCACCGCTCAACTCCTACGTCAAGATGCTGGTCAACAACCTCGAAGATGCTGCCCTGGAGGTGTACAAAACCAAGATGCGCATCTATTCGCCGACTAAGATCGTCACTCCGTACGGTGGCCGACTGACCTGGACGCTGCCCGGAAGAACCAAAATGATCACTCATCTCAAGGATAAAAACAAAATCCGACACAAGAAACGCTGGTCCCAGGTAATGTACATGTACTACCTTCTGGGCTACAGGATCATGCAGCTGAACACCTCAGCCGAACGGAAGATGGTGATCGCACAGAATACGTATCTCCTTGCACTGGATGGGGACATCGATTTCCAACCGAAAGCCGTTTCCCTACTGGTAGATCGGATGAAGGTCGATCCGGACCTGGGAGCTGCCTGTGGACGAATCCATCCCGTTGGCACCGGCCCTATGGTGTGGTATCAGATCTTCGAGTATGCGATCGGTCATTGGTTGCAGAAAGCTACCGAACACGTCATTGGGTGCGTTCTGTGTTCACCTGGATGTTTTTCCCTGTTCCGAGGTCGAGCTCTGATGGAAAACTCCGTCATGAAAAAGTACACCACCAAGTCCGATCAGGCCCGGCACTACGTCCAATACGATCAGGGTGAAGATCGTTGGCTGTGTACACTGCTGCTCAAACAAAAATTCAGAGTCGAATACTCGGCTGCCTCCGATGCGTACACTCATGCTCCGGAAGGCTTTAACGAGTTCTACAACCAGCGCAGACGTTGGGTGCCGTCAACCATGGCAAACATCTTCGATCTTCTTGGGGATGCCAAGCGAGTCGTCAAGACCAACAACAGCATCTCGATGCCCTACGTTATCTACCAGTCCATGTTGATGTTCGGTACCATCCTTGGTCCAGGAACGATCTTCCTTATGATGGTCGGTGCTTTGGTAGCTGTATTCCGAATCGACATCTGGACGTCCTTCCTGTGGAACGGAATTCCACTGGCTGCCTTTATGGCTATTTGCTTATGGATGAAGCAAAAATACCAGCTGATGGCTGCATTCTTTATCTCAGCTATCTACTCGCTCGTGATGATGGCCGTATTGGTCGGTATCATAATGCAGGTCATGGAGGATGGTATACTTGCTCCGTCCTCGGTGTTCTTCATGGCCATTGCACTGCAGATCGTTGTTACGGGGCTCCTGCATCCCCAGGAAATGGAAGCCCTCCCAGCTGGTCTAGTGTACTACATCACAATCCCGTCCATGTACATGCTGTTGGTTATTTATTCGGTGTTCAATATGAACGACGTTTCGTGGGGGACAAGGGAAAATCCAACCGAAGCTCCTGCAGCGGCGCCGGCTCAAAAGGTTCCACAAGGGAAGATGAACAAACTGATGGGTTATCTTAGGTCCGGCGATCAAGAAGATGAAGGTTCGATCAACTTTTCCGTGAGTGGGCTGTTTAGCTGTCTGTTCTGTACCCATCCGAAGTCCAGTGCCGAAAAGGAACAGATGGTGCAGGTTGCCGGTTCACTGGCGGATATCAACTCCAAGATGAAGGATCTGGAAATGTAAGTAGGACGTTTGGCAGGATAAGATGCCGGTATCTTTTGCTGGAACTGTGAAAATCACGGATCTTTCAAAACTTTTGCAACACAAAGTGTTCCAAAAAACTTTGGAAGCGAAATTAACTTTACAGCACCGTACACGGTCGATTAGATCGACTCAAAAGTAAGCTTAATTTTCCGGGAAAAGCCATGGAAAAGTAACTGAAAGATTTACTCAGTCTAGTTAATATATACTACTAACATTCTGAGTGAAACCTCTATCGGTTGTCCTCATATTCGAGAAGTTTCTTCTAGAAATGACCAGAAAATTCAACTTATTTTTGAGTAAATTCATTTTTAAAGAAATTGAGTCAACTCGAATAAATTTTGAGTCGGACTGATCGACCGTGTTAAAACATTCCAAGAACTGATAAATGCCCTGAAACTCCGAAAGCTCTTAAAACTGCGAAAACATCGGATGTATCAGCGAATCTTGATATTTTCAAAAATCTCGGAACACCATAATCACTAGAAACATTCCGAACAGCGAGTATTTCCGGAACTTTGATACTTATGGTGGTTCTGGAACTCCTTGAACATCAAAAGCTCTTTACACTTGAGTAGTTTCAGGCAAAATAGCGAAAAAATAATCAAATTTTGTTATGGGCAATGCTTTACAATTTTTCTACAATTGGGCTATTTTGGAGCATGTAATATTTTTAAAATAATGTCCTTGACATTTTTCAAAACATGGTAGCATGGAAACGACATTTCTGATCAAAATGACGTCGGAGACAAATTTGTTGACTCGTTTCCCTGGACGTAGATCTCTTGATTGATGGTTCCCGTAGTAATGAAAATGCTGCTTTTTAGACCACACGTGCAGCTGCTTGAAATCCGCCTTCACATAAGTTTCGTCGTCCATGACACAGTCGAACTTTGTGAGCAGAGTCGTATACAGCTTCCGGGACCGACGCTTTGCCAACGTGATTTGTTTTGATTGAGCTTGCCAGTGACGTCCCGGATGGAGAGGTTAGGATTCCGCTCATATTTCGCCGCCACCTTCTTCGTTGTCGCTGGCACGTCCGGATTTCGATTGCTTCCGATTCCAGGCTTTTTGGCGATCGACAGAAGCTCCCCGAACACTTTTAAAACATTTGTCACGGTCGATTTGGCCACATCCAGCAATTTTGACAACTTGGCGTGTGAGAACGTCGGATTCTCTTGCTGCGCGAGCAAAATTTTGACACGCTACTCCTCTTGCTTGGACGTCATTTTGAAAACTGGAGAGCAAACTGTGAAAACTCATCATAGCAACCATTATATATATACACTCAACTTCCAAATGCAGCATTTCAGGTATTTTTTATGCATTTTTTACAGAAATACCCAAATTTGAAGTTGACCAATTTTTGCACGTTCCAGGCTTTTGGCCGACATTACATAGATTTCCACTATGTGTCGACACATAGTTCCTATGTGTACACATAAAATTCATTTGTACCTACACATACTATTCATTTGACTCATAAATTTCATGTGTACTTCTGAGTGGATTCTGTTTATGTGTGGACCAGGCATCCAAATTATCCCTATCAATTATCATTTTCACACCTATCTTTATCACCTATCTCTATCCCTATCACAACTGCTTCTATCAATGATACTATCAGTGATAGAAAAAATGATAGATAGATGATAGAGGGTATTATCCCTATCATTAATAGAAGTGAGAGTGATATTATCAGCAGAGAACCTATCAATGATTGAGAAGTTATTATCCATCCATATCTTTTGAGAGAACGTTTGTGATATTATCATTATCAATTAAACGACGTATAGTATCTCCATCACATTTTTGGAAAACTGTTTCATCTCTATCATTTTATATTAATCATGCATACCGAAAAACCTGGCATAGTGGGAAACATGGTTTGTATCAGATAAGAATCTGCCAAACTTGTACAACAAACTATACAAAACATATGGATATTTTCGGAATCGTGGTGACGTATAGAGACCGGAAATCGATGTCCGACGCCATTTTGAAATCCAAGATGGCGGCTTCTGGTTAAAATAAAATCTGGGAAACATTACAAATACCCTTCAATATGGGTATTTTCGGAATCGTGGTTACGTCTCGAATCCGGAAATCGATGTCCGACGCCATTTTGAAATCCAAGATGGCGACTTCTGGGTATAATAAAACCTGGGAAACATTATCAAATACCCTTCAATATGGGAATTTTTGGAATCGTGGTGACGTCTAGAGACCGGAAATCGACGTCCGACGCCGCCATCTTGGATTTCAAAATGGTGTCAGACCTCGATATCCGGTCTCTATACGTCACCACGACTCCAAAAATAACCATATTAAAGGGTATTTTATAATGTTTTCCAGATTTTAGGATACCCAGAAGCCACCACCTTGGATTTCAAAATGGCGTCGGACATCGATTTCCGGATTCGAGACGTGAAAGAGAGAAAAAAAAACCGATTTGTACCTTCCTTAAAAGTTGTCCTAGCTCGCTATTCTAATATCTATATGCAATCTTCACACTGCCGTACTCTAACGGAACTATCAACTCTATGCTTTCTTCTACTCCATCTATCGTATAAAAATTACCACTACAGTCTGTTATTTGAAATTAGCATCTTCAACTACGTTATTTCGCCTTTTCGGCTATATACAGCTGAACAACGGCCAGTGTTTGCAAGTTCTGATGAGGCCCGTATATAGCCAAAAAGGCGAAATAACGTGTCTATGGTTACTTGGGTGGGTTGCGGTCTTCATCAGATGCATAAGGTCTATTGGAAACTGAACAGTTGTGTTCATAATGTGTCTTCCAGGTGGCACCAATAAATTATTTGCTTAACTTGACCTCTTGACTAGATAGAAGGTTTCAGTCTTTGGAAAAGTTTTTCAAGTGAAAAAGACTTATTGGATGGTGTACATCACACTAGTATACCTTTTAACTTCTTTTCACTGCTAATTGCATTGCTTTAATTTGCGACTTCGACTAGATAGAAGGTAGCGGTGTTGGATAAAGCTGTTCTGATGAATAAGGAATAAATATTTGATGATGAAAAGCTCAGTTCAAAGTTCACTCACCATGAGACTCTAGTGTGCAATTTGACATCTTATTGCTTGCTTTAACTTGACAGCAGGATTAGATAGAAGTTTGCTGTCTCCAGTTAAGACAAATCGTATCTCATTCGAAAACATCACTAGCCAGAAGGTTGCTGTCTTCTTTTTCTTTCCTTTATTTAACGTCAGTCTCTGTTCCGCAATCTAGTGCCAATCACCGATGGATATCGATTGCCATCCATTGACGGCAATCGAATGTGCAGGAAGGCAGCTAGGATATCGCACCTATTCAACACACATGGGCCGGGAACAACGGCTTTACTTCCCTTCCGAAGGAAGACGTGACCAGAGATTTGTATGCCTCAGAAAAATCCCACCGACCTCGGCTGGGACTGAACCCAGTCACTTCGGGGTGTTAGAAAGCAGTCACGCTTACACTACACCACCGGCGCCGGCCGGAAGGTTGCTGTCAACACGATTTATTATATAGTGGACAGCTCAGTTCTAAATTCTTACACCAGGCCCCGACGAGTAAACGATTTGACTTATAATTATTTGCTTCAACATAAAAAATCAACTAGATAGATGGTTGCTGTTTTTGACATAGTTGATCAGATTTTTTGACGTAGGACTACGTCTTTGATTTCTATATGGGGGTACACTTTGTGAAAACCGAAAATGTAACATGTAACAAATTAAGAAAGATTTGGAACGTTAATAACTCAGCTTCCCCTGGTCCAATTTCAATAATTTTATCACCAATCGATCAGAAATGCTTCCGAATGTTGCTTTTCAACAAGAAACTATTGGAAAACTGGTAAATGTCCAGCATTGTCCAAAAGCGTCGAATTAACTAACAAATCCACCAATTACTTACATGCATATGTGCTTCCCCCGCACAGTCGTCAGAGAGTAGTAAGTAGACGAAACAAGTCGAAGTGGCATTCGCCTCCGATCCTCGGGCGCGTGCAAATAGGGAGGATGGAATTGCGTAATATTTTGCACACTTATCGCCATATTCAGAACCAAACGCAAATTCTTCGAGATAACTACCATCCGTCGTCTGGCTCGCCGTGGCGGTGTCTGACGTATCTCCGGTCTGATTTACGAGGTGTGCTGAAGGTGTTCCTGAAAAATGAGATCCGTGATGCTGTCACCTACACTAAACACGCCAAGCGTAAGCGGCCATTGATGTCATGTACGTTTTGAAATGACAGAGACGCACTCTGTTTGGTTTCGGAGGTTAAATCATCACCAACTTTGGGAACAAAACGGCTCTTTTCAGGGCCACCAAGCTTATTACAGTAAAGAGTAGGAATAGAATTCATCTGCCTGTTTGTCCATATTCAGAAACAATGACCACACAAAATGCTCATGTAATCAAACTGGAAGCAGGGGTACAAATTATTTTGATCAACCTTGATCAACTTTGAATCGCCACGGCCGGTTATTTTCGATGGAAGAAGCAACAATCTAGCATCTAATTCGACGAAGACGGCAGGAAACATTTGTGAAGCCGAGTTATTTACGAAAGAGAGTGTCGATGAAGAGAATCGATCAATGTAGATAGGACCTATTGAAAATCGACGCGAGATTTGTTTTCCGTACTGAGCTCCAATGCTACCGACGCCAGGGAGGCAGCTCCCACACCTGGACCCTACCAATCGACCCATCAACTCAACCGGGGACCAACGACTTTACTTCCCGAAGGAAGGCGTGATCAGAGATGTTATGCCTTATAACATGTTGGACCCAGGCCTGCTGGGGTGAGAGGTAATCACGCTAACCACCGGTACCGATATCTTCCAAGGTGATATCACGGCGAATGAGAACGACCCAAATTTGAGTTTAGTTATCTCAGAAATAACAAATAAAGTGCAGGAACTCAGCGATGAGTAAATTTGCCTCATATTTTCCCAGGTTTTTCCAGGATTTT